ATAAATAATAAATCGTAACTTCTCTCTCCTGAAACCCTTTTCTTTGAATTGGGGCAAGCCCTTTGCAAGTGGGTTCTCACAAATTCTAGTCTGGTCTATTAACAAAATAGATGTGTGCCTCACCTTTCCATCAGTTAAGTCTTCAAGGCAGCATACAAATTGATTTTTTTTTCTCTGAGCTAGATTTATTTTCCTGAATTCCCAGTGTGAGGGACACCTAGAGATTCACTTGCCTTTTGCTTGATGCTGCAATGATATTTCCCCTCCATAATAGAAATAAAGCAGGAAAGAAAACCTCCTCCCAAACCATTCCAGGGGGACTCCTACAGCACAACTCTTCCCCAAGGCAAGCTTCCTTCAGAAAGGGAAGGGGACGAAATGTGGCTGAGCAGGTTTCCTGGATAGAATTACCCATCATATGATTATTTCGTAATTTGCTGTGTATAACTGTACTAACTGTATCGAGATGCATTTGTCAAACCATAGGCAGCCATGAATTCCACTCATAAACTGACTTTCCAGAGAGAAACAAGTGGAAGATATAGACCAGCCTCAGTGACTCATCTGATAGCTGTAATGGTGTTTACCCCGTAAGGAATCTCTATGAAATCTAATAGGGTCCCTTAGCAGTTCCCCTCTGACAAGACATGTTTGTTGTTGAGATTATTTCTTGCACTCTCTGAATTTTAAACTCCCTTTGCACCACGGTGGTTGTTTCTGCACTGTGTCTTTCACTTCATTATTCATTCCTGTCCCTCCAGCGCACAGGCATATCGTAAACTTAAAATAAATTGCTTCATCTCATTGCCCTCTACATTGGTCAGATGAACAAAACCAACTGCCATCTTGTTTGGCTTGACATTTGGGTGATAGGTTACCTTACATTTTCCCTAAAGTATATTTTCTTCATTTTTCATGGATATCTGAGTCTCCAGCACAGCAGAAGATCCTTTCACCCATCAAGCCAAATGCTTGATTTGAATACTTAATAGGAATAATGTACACTGTTCCTCATTAGGTAATCCATCATGGACCTACTATACTATTTGAACATCCAGGTTCAATTACATCATCTCTTATAGCAAAGGGTTACTGCCAAAATACTTTAATTCTTAAGATGTTTAACACTATTTTCCAAAGTACCTTTTGCTGAAGTAACTTGATGTGTATCTGGAAAGGTTGGGGAGTATCTCAGTGAAGGTGTCTGTGTTTTGGCGCTTTAAGATATATTTCATTTACCTGCTTTCTTGAACCATGGCTTCTGGATTTGAGATTGTATTTGAGAGACTGGAAATTATGACTGTCCAGATAGAATTCCAAAACAGCTCCTGGAATGATGGAAAGAGTCATAAGAAGGCAATGCATCATAAACATTCCTTAAATGGAAACAATTATACTTACCCTAATCGTCATATATGTAGGAAACTGCCTTATGCCAGGTCAAACTGTTTAGAATATTTTAAGTATAACTTACCCTGACTAGCAGTAACTCTTCAAGATTTTCATCCATTCTAACCTAGTTTTTTCCATGGAAAGCATGTGATCTGCCATTGATCTCTAATCTGTCCTTTCCTGGACCATTTGGATGGAGATTCATTTTGTATGAACCTCTGCTCTTACTTTGTTCTCCTATTTATTTTTTCTTTTGTGCTTCTGTTTCTTTCAACAGCATCAAAGGACCTGCTTACAGGCTCTCCAGAAATGGAGGCAACTGATAAGGACGATATGGTACTTTTGAATGAGATTCTCAATGCAACTTCTTTGGATGATAGTGAATTCAGCAGGGAATGGACAGCTGTCTTTGGAGAGGATCCACTTGCTGACATGGCCACAAACTCTTCTGTCGGAGAAATGGAAAGCAATCAGTCATCCTCATCCTCAGGCTTCCTTCCTTCTCAGCTTTTAGACCAAAATATGAATGATTTGCAGTCCTCACTTCAAGGTGAGTCTATTGTATTACTGATAATAGAAACCTTTAGGTGTTTACATTGTTAAGTAAAGGAATCCTTTTCTCCATCACTCGGCCCAGTGGACCATTCTAATGCTGTGGCAATTAATTGTGTGTGAATGCTCACAGACAAATATGGGTGCCTCAGTTGCATTTGATGACGTGGACTGCAGTCTATAGAAGTTAATATTTGAATAAAACAGCATTAAAAGAGCTACTCTTCATGCCATTTTATGCTAAAACAGACTAACATTGCTATCGTTCTGAATTCACATAGGTATTTGGAGGAGTTGGATGCCGCACTAAACCACAATATAGTTATAATGTGCACAGGCATCCCATTACATGCACAAGTGTTGGGTTACAACCTATTCAGTTCCTCTGAAGTGAAATAAGTTGTGATTGGTTTAAAGGCAACATATCCCTTTCTGTTTTTAAAGGCTTTGCTGTCCCCATTTCTCACTTCTGAAATGGTGGCTCTTCTACCACCATCAGTAGAACAACATGATCAAAATGGAGCAACACAAGGAAATGAAGCATTTTAGCCTTTCCTTTCGTGGCAGCCTTAAAGACCACGGAGATCTGCTGCAATTGCTGCTAAATGATGTCAGCAGGAACTGTGGCCGTGATGAGACCACTACAGAACTATAGTCCCCTTTTGGGCAACCTAATGCAGTCCCTTGCCATTGGGTAGTTGTCCATTCCTAGTTTAAATTGTAGTTTGTCCACATCAGTCAAGAACAGACCACGTCTTTTGATGATGGGCCAAGCAATTTGTGCATTGCCACTCTCCAAACCTCCTAGGGGTTATTCCTCCAATGTCCTTGAAAGTAAAGGGCACGGCAACAAAAAGGAGTGATGCTTCCCTTTAACAAGGCACTTTAGCATGTGGATGGGGATTGGTTCCCAAACAACATGCGTTTTGTTTACTGGCAAAATGACTTTTTTTGTTGCTGTACCATAGCAGCAGCCTGGTTGACAGGGAACCTGGAGGTCCAAAAATGCCTGGGACTCACATTCATCCTGCAAGTTGTCCCTCCCTGGGATTACAGCAAGCCATTCTTCATGCATGAGATGAAAGATAAATTGCTTAGTTTAAAAAAAATACATGTGAGTGCTTCTGGTTTCCTCCTGAGAAGGAGAGAGGAAAGACATGTGCACATAATACAAAGTTGTGATATTGCATTTTACTTTTTCTCTAGATTCACATCTTATAGATTCTCGTTTATACTCATTCATGTATTTATTCTAGGAGGTTGGCACATATACCTTACCAGAAGTGATTTTCTCTGTTAAGTTACTTACACTAGGCCCATTTATTTACTTTTGACCCTCCCTGCAATCCTCTCTATTTTTACTCCCACTAAATATCAATTAGCTGCTCTCATGCTGTAAAAAACACACATCTGCACTACAGGATTAAAATGAAACTACTTTATGAAATTACAAGTCTGGTTGTTTCTGTGTTCCAGCAGATCAGCCTTCTTGCTGCCAATATTCCATGTTAATCTCACTGCTCTTCCTTGGGCAGATGGTGGTTGTGGGAGGGAGGCGTAAAGGATGAAAGGAAAATTTGTCTCATTATTTTTAGAGTGAAGGGATGACGTGTGTGAAGGGTTCTTAACTCCTCCGGGGTGTTAACGTGGGTTGGCTTCCTTGTCATTTGTTGATGGGAAAATTATTCCTTTGACATTCCTCAGGTAGGAGAAAATAGTAGAGCTTGGAATTGCAATTTTTAAAAAGTCTATTGTTAAAGGGACCTTGTAAAGAACGGCAGGCCAAAGATAAGAACATGTTGTCAATGACGCCTCAGTGATTTGATTCCAAGTATTTTGGTGTAACAGGCCTATGGGCAGAGACATAAACTGGCTTCTCATTCTAGTATAAATGCTTAATGAAGTTGAACTATTATACATTTTAAGGTGATGTGATGTAGCTCAGTATAGGACAATTTCATAATAAAGAGACTAACGGCAAACTACACATGAAGTGGGAGATCTGTGTACAAGTTCTCCCACAGCGGTGACTCTTGAAAACAGAACTTGAGGATAGTGGGGACTAAATTGCAAAGCAAACAGAACTGATTCATGTTGTTTTTACATGTGGCAAATAGTTTATTTGGAGGGGAATAGTTTGAATCAGGAAGTGATATGATGTGGAAGGCATAACATTTAAGAACATTTAAGTATTTAAGAACAGGTGAGAAACAAAAGGAAATAGAATTGGAATCTTGAATGTAATTGGGCAGGCAGTTGTGCTCAGGAACAAGGAGAACTACTGTAATAATCAATGCAGAAAAATAAAAAAACCAACAAAAAACGAACAAGAGACTTCTTCCACATGATCCGAGAAATCAAAAGGAAATTTAAGCCAAGAGCTGAGATGCTCAGCGACCAGAAGGGAAGAAAATCAGCCTAGGTGTTTCAATCAGCTCTCATTTATAGATTATAGCAAATATTTTGATTATGTAGATCATGAAACACTATAGATTGCTCTTCAATAAATGGGTGTTCAACAACATTGGTTTGTTCTGATACTAGCCTGTACACAGAACAAGAGGCTAACATCAGGACGTAATATGGAGAAATAGCATGGTATCCAATTAGAAGTGGAGTCAGCCAAGGCTGTATTGTATCACCCTATCTGTTTAACTTGTATGAAGAGATCTTAAGTAAAGCAAGATTAGACTTGAAAGAAGAAGGCGTGAAATTGGAGAAAGAATCGTCAACAGTTTAAGATATGCAGTGACATCATACTTTTAGCAGAAAATAATAAAGGCATGAAACGATTACAGGAGAAAGTGAAGGACGAAGTATAAAAGTACATTTACAGTTGAACATTAAGAAAACAAAAATAATGACCACAGATGATTTACACAACTGTGTTAACACGGTGTGTTAACAGTAAAAAAAAAGTATGGCTAGGATTATTGTTCATTAGTGCACAGATGTCTCTGTGTTCTGTGTTTCTGAGGTACAGCCTTAATCTGCAAAATGCCAGTTAGTCAGACTAGGACACAACTGTATTCCAACTATTCAACTGTAAACAGATTTCAATTTAAATTTCTCAATATATAATGCACAACTCATTATGCTTCTGCTTAAACTATCATTTGGACTTGTTAGAACAGATGCTTTTGCTTGCATAAGATCTTACAATCCCTAGTTGTTAAAAAATAAAGATGATTTGTAGTACATCACATCGTCCAACAGAATCCTGTCAAGCAGATAGGAAAACCATTTCTAGGCATTTACTTTCTGTTTCTTCACTTTGTGGTATAGTTGCTGTGGTAGACACTTTCATCAATATGGAAAAATTGAGAAAAATGGGCATGGAGTGAGCTAGGTCAGGTCCCTGTCTATGCTCTGCAGACAGTGTTTATCGATTAGATAAAAAGGTTGTCTGTTTTTCAAAGCTTGCATGCAGGGTAGGTACAATTAGGTTGCTTGAACGCCATTTATGTTAGTGGAATTACGCAAGCGGAGACTGGGCTTAAATATAATATGAAATGGTTTGCGCTAAGTAGGGTGAAGAATCATAGAGTCAGTGTTGGAAGAGACATCGTGGGCCATCCAGTCCAACCCCCTGTCAAAAAGCAGGAAAATTGCATTCAAAGCACCCATCACACCATAGTTTGACAGGCAGATATGCATGACATAGGGGTGTTTTATTTCAAACATGGGTAAGTCCAAATCAACAATATTAAAAGGCAGTTTGGAAGTTAAGGGTGGTAGTTACCCTTTCTTGTGCCCGAGCCACGTCATTGTTGAAATGCCCCCAAGCCACATCAAAGAAGGATAAACTTCATAACAATTAAGAAAATGATAGAGACCATGTGCATTTTCACTATACTGCTGTTCATGTGTGCAGCCTTTTCCTATGGCTACTTTTCTAACTTTACAGACTGCTTTAAGCGTGCATTCCCTCCCCTGCTCCTATTTTGTATTAAATTCTATAATATCAAAGGGATCATGTAAATAAGGGCCTGTGTTTGGCATCTGAACGGAGCCTTTTAGTTGCTGGTTCCATTTTATTTTATTTTATTGAGGACGAAAGGATTACTTCTCTGTTTGTTTTCGCTTTCTACATTGGTACACTTTCTGGCAGGAAAGCTGAGTGGCTTGGCTTCCTTAATGTCTCACTGATAATCTGTTTCATGAAGTGCTCTTTGAGCTGCTAACTCACAGCAGCTAGTAAACCGTGCTCTTTCCCCTCCCCAAATTTCATTCTGTTAGCAATGGAAATACAGCTGGCTTGGGCATAGCTCATGAGGCAAAGCTTGAAATAGTTTAGTTTTTGGAGTACAATTCCTGGAATGCCCAGCCAGCACAACCATTTTATAGTTCAAAATTGGTATTTCTGATCTCTGGTTCTAGTACAGTAGTCATGCCTGCAGATCTAGCCAAAAGGCTGCTTTTCTTGGGTTCAGAACAGGAACCTGGAAGAACTCCAGCTTGGCATATGAAACAACAAGCAGCAGGCAAGGGAGTGGATGGGTAATCATCTAAAATAACCTGCAGTCACCGTCATGGAGTAAAGAAGAGATGGACAATTTCATTCCTACTCCACTTTTAGCCAAGGTACACAAAGACAGTTTATTGTAGAGTTTAAACAATGTCATATGCACAACATACGAAGACCTAGTTAAAATTCTGAAAGAGAACTAAATCAAATTAACACCCCCATTTTGTTTCATAAAGAATGAAGTTTCCAGGAAATACTTTTTTAAGTGTTGCTGCTGTGAGTGCTGCAAGCTCATTAAGTAATCAATGTTGACTGATGAAATGCAATTCTGTCACTGAATTTTAGGTTGGGCAGCGAGCAGCATCAGCCCTTCGCCTGCACCACAAACACTACCGAAATTCGGCAGCCTGAACATGAGCATCAACAAGACGCCTATGAAAGGTTACACATTTGTTTCTCTCTGGGTTCATATTTGTGTGTGTGTGAAAGAGAGACATGCCTCACTAGCACAGCTGTTTGAGAGATTACACTATTATATATATTTTCAGAACTATTTAAAAATATTTTCTTTAAAAAATAATGCTTTAATCAGTGTGTGGTTTATATTAATTTGCTATGGAACACTTGTGTAAATGTATTGGTGGTGTTCATTCACAGAATTCCACCGCGTCCTCTTCTGTATGGCAGAAATCACTCTGCCCCATGTGATCTTTAGGGCTTTCGGATTTCTAATGTTTTCACCTGAAATAAGAGAAAGGCCTAATGTCCTCTGCTCAGAATCACAAAGTAAATATGCCTTACTATCCAGGAACACTATAGAATCCTGTTAGTACACTGCTTTGGTACTTGTACCTTTTCTGGGATTATGCAGTCGTGGAAAAGAAAGGCAGACAATCGATTGGGCTCAAGCAACTTATTTCCTTTATAGATGCTGCTCTTATATCCTCCTTGATGCCATCAGTGACAATATAATGCACCAACAGGATTCTGGTCATATATAAAAAAATAAATATTTTGCTTTGAACATGCCTACCAATGTAGACCTCCTTTGGGAACATGATGCCGTGGGAAGTGACCTGTTGTTCTGTCAAAGTATAGAACTTTCTTAACAAATATGCTCATTGAATGCCATTCCGTCCTGTTGCTGTATGGCCAGCTTTAAATCAATGTGAAGATCTTCTTAGTTGCATTTAAGTACTGTAAGTGGGTATAGACCGGGAGTAATCTGACATCATCATGTTTTAATGTTCTGATACTGTAAACACCTCTGAAGAAATCCTAATACGTACATTATTGTCTCTAATCTGAAGGACAGGAAATCACTACAATGGGATAGGTGCAGAGAGGGAATGGCATCATCAGGTGCAGTCACTATATAGATGTTAGGAAATATTGCATTTGTTTATGCATATATTCATGTGTATAGATTATTATTGTTGCTCTTTTTGATAAATATATATATTTTAAAAATAAAAATATCCTAATAAAAGTTGCAGTGTTATATAGTTGTATCATTGTGCATATTGCTTAGCAGTTCATATCTAAAACTTATTTTTCATACCATGAGTGACTTGAGAAACTGCAAGTCACTTCCAGTATGAAAGAATTAGCTGCCTGCAGGGATGTTGTCCAGGGGACGGCCAGGTATTTTACCATCCTGTGGGAGGCTTCTCTCATGTCCCCACATGCAAAGCTGGAGTTGACAGACAAGAGCTCACCCCTCTCCCTTGATTCAAATCACCGACCTTTCAATCAGCAGTCCTGCTGGCACAAGGGTTTGACCCATTGTGCCACCAGGGGCTCCTGTCTAAAACTATGATCAGCATCCAATGGAAGTAGGAGGAAGCAACCCATATGTGTCCCCAAAACATCCTCAGAGCCCTCTGGGCATAATTATTTCCCTTCTGTCTTCCAGGTGCTGCAAGTTCATCCAAAGATCTCACTGCTTGGTATAGCCTCTTTGCTGACCTGGACCCTTTGTCCAATCCAGACGCCGTTGGGAAAACAGATAAAGAGCATGAATTGCTCAATGCATGAGGTGTCTGCCCAGGGTAACTTCCACTTCGCCACTCGTAGACAATGTGCTTTGGGGTTTTAGAAACTTGTAAAAGAAGATCCGTGTGCTCTTGTTCAATTTCTCACTTCTGTGCCATTCTAATAAAAACGAGGAATTTTCCTTCCTCTTCTTTCTTCAGATGGACGTTACTAGGTCTTGATTTGTATAAAGGAAGTGCTCCTTCTCCTCTCTCTGTTTCTGTGTGTATTTACTGAATGAGACTCTGGTTTAGAGGAGATTGCTACCTGGATTAATGTACTCACTGTAACTTGCCTCTTGGCAGAGAGGTATCAAAGCTATTACAAGAATGAAATATAAACAATATACTTATTTTTTATATTTTTTTTCTTTGTGTAAATCAGAAAATAAAATCATGTACTTGGAGGCTGCATGAATCACTTGTACAGACAGACATATTTAATATTCTGCTGCAATACTAAACAAATTAAATTTCTATCGTTAGTACCCATAGTGAAAGAATCTATACTCTGGGGCTAATATTTATAGAGTTATATTTGAATATCTATGGTTCTAATGTGTGTCCATTCTCTAATTTTAAATTATTAGGCAAATTGCAGACCATCAGTCCAGACAGAGTCCCCCAACTTCGTCATTTCTAGTGTGTTCTTTTGTGCCAGCAGTTTCTGCTGTTAAGATACTGAGTCGTATTGATTTTGCCAACATGTGCATTTATGATATTCGTACAGAGCACTTTGCATCATTGCCGGTTTCATACTCACATTTTCTTGGATCTGTCATGACACTCTTCTTTAATAAAGATGGTTTTGATGAAAATACTCTTCTTTTTCTACTGAAATGTAAAGAATTTGACCAATGGAAACATGATACCCATATTTCATCACATAATAGTCGCCATGGCGCAATAGTCGCACCCCCTCTTTTTGGGGTCTCAAAATTGGTACTTAAGTATTTCATAATAGTCACCGAGCTGTTTGGGGCTGATTTCCCCTTTGTTCCTTCTTTCTCTGAAGGCGAGGCAGTTTTTAAAAACCTGAAATGGAGATCTCTGGAACTGAGCTCTTCCTCCTTCTTCTAAAGAGTTCCAGATTTTGTAAATTGCTTTGCCTTTAGGGAAAGAAGGGAGGGAGGGTCAGTTTGCCTTTGTATGAAGCTGGATTATCCCCCCTCCTCTTTTTTTGGAGGTAAGGCCGTGTGTGTGTGTGTGTATAGAAACCAGAGAATCAAAGGCAGATTGTTTTTTCATTGCATTATAGTCACACCCTTTTTTCGATCTAATGAGGCATGTGTGACTATTATGCGATGAAAAATAGTCATTTTGTCAGAAGGTAGAATTCATCGCATCTCTCCAGATCTGTAGCTTTCTGGAAAAGAAACTACCTCACAAACAATATTGGAAGGCTTTAATTCAAAAGCATGCATTAGGGAACGCAATAAAGTTTCAACCGACAGTTTATTTCCCTCATGCATCACCCTGGCCCCTCCCCTGCTTTGCTCCCATTTCCAAGGCAACTCCCTCCCAGATTCCAAATATACACAGGACAGGGCTAAGGCATGGCCTAATTTCCTGGCTTCACACAAAACTGGGAAATAAGATCATGGACAGCATCCCCTGAAACACATTCATGGGCAAACTAGAATTCTCTTGGTTTAAAGCAGTGGTTCTCAACCTGTGGTCCCCAGATGTTTTTGGCCTACAACTCCCAGAAATCCCAGCCAGTTTACCAGCTGTTAGGATTTCTGGGAATTGAAGGCCAAAAACATCTGGGGACCCCAGGTTGAGAACCACTGGTTTAAAGAGTCCATATGATAAGAGTAGTTTGAGTGTTGGACTGCAATTCTGGGACACCATTGTTCAAATCCCCACTCAGCCATGGAAGCCCATTGGATGAACTTTGGGAAGTCATAACCTCTCAGCCTCAGAGGAAGGCAACAGCAAACTCCTTTGAAAAATATCTTGCCAAGAAAAGTATATTTTGTACCCTTGTGTCTTCAAGGCACAAAACAACTTTGATTTAATAATTTCCATTTATTTTTGATCACAGGCTATATACATAGCCACAGTATAGGTATATAGCACATTCCAGTGGTTTTCATTTTTAAAAGGCATTCTTTAATGAAAGGCCGATGCACATTGAAGAGAGAGCCATGAGGTGACAGAGCAGATTTCATCAGACTGAAGGTGGGATTCCCTTTTAGAAAGCTCCATCATTAAAAAAAACAGCAACAAAGCAAACACTTTACATCCTGTAAGAAGAGAACTCATCCCATCTCTGGAAGATACTGTTTCCGTTCTGTGCTTGGTTAGTTTTGCACTTCTGGGATTTTTGCATTGGGAAAGTATTCAAAAACTTGAACTCTTCTTAGAAAAGGTACCACAACTTGGGAGTATTTGAGTGTACCATTGGGAGTACCATTTTCCTCCATATCCTGTTGTATATGTAGAACCAATTCACCTATAGATACAGAGTTATTTTGCCAGCGAACCATTTTTTAAATTATTATTAGTGGTCAAACCTGAAAAGAACATTTATTGACTTCTGCATGCCTTAGAACTAGCTAAACTTCTTTGCTGCTGATGGAATTTTGAACATTGACGGCCCATGGAGGATAATTGGTAGAACACTATATTCTTATGGGTGTATTGCTTTAAAATATCTATCGGACTCCTATATGACCATTACACACATACAATATGACATTGCACTGTAGCTATGATACTACATCGTGAATTTTGTCCAAACCTCCAAATCCCAATAAGCAGCTACTGGCATTGAAAAGGGTTGGTTCCCCTGTCAATCAAAAAGTGCTGACTGATGTCCCACCTATGCCCAGGAGCGAGCTCTAATTTCTCAGGCAAAGGACTTCATCAGCAAACCCCCTTGTGACAGATTGGTTTGGGGGGGGGGGCATCAAGCAATTGGCGCTCGATCATAGAATTGGAAGAGACCATCAGGCAATTCAGTCCAATCCCTTGCCATGTAGGAACAGACAACTAAAGAACTCCTGACAGATGACCATATAGCCTCTGCTTAAAAATATCCAGACTCAGAAGAGGCATGTTCCACTGTTGAACAGCTCTTGTAAGGATGTTCTTCCTAATGTTTCAGTGGAATCTATTTCCCTGCTATTTGAACCCATTCATGTCCCAGTCTCTGCAGCAGCAGAAAACAAGCTTGCCCCCTCCTCAATGTGACATCCTTTTATATATTTTGACATGGCTATCGTGTGTTCTCTTTTATAAGCAAATTATACCCAACTCCCTAAGCTGTTCCTCATAAGGCTTGTCCTCCCGACCATCGATCATTTTGGTCACCCTTCTCTGGACACATTCCAGCATGTCAACATCTTTCCTGATCCCTATTGATCCCAGCAGTTGCTTGCTGGTAAATTGGAATTGAGGGACTTCCTCATGTAGCACTTAGTTTGGGGACTACATAGGGATTATGAATACATAACCGTGGGCTGGGCTTTAGCACAGCTGGGAAATCATCAGCAATGATAAGATCTACCAACCGAAAGGTTGGCAGTTCAAAGCTGCAGGTCAGCATGAGCTCCCGACTGTCAGTCTAACTCACTGTTTACCTAAGCAGTTCAAAAACACCTTAGAGCTGTGAGTAGAGAAAACAGGTACCGCTAAAACAAGTGGAGGAGGTATTTTGCAACACCATAAAAGATGAGAAAATGCCCAGTGACCAACAGGAAGGGGGAAGTCCTGATGGCTCTTTGTCACAGAGGATGGAGCGACAGCACCCTGTGGCTGAATTTGAGCATAACCTCCAAGGTGCCAAAGAAAAGCTGGACTTTTGACACAACAAATATCCTTTCTGTTCTGTCTCTGTCTTGTCTCTGAATGTTTGCCGTGTATGTGTACTGTGACCCACCCTGAGTCCCCTTAGGAAGATAGGACGGAATATAAATCAAGTGTTATTATAACCATTGTGAATATGTAACTGTCAATTACATATTTACAACCTGCCCAACAGGATTTTAGCCATCATTTGTGAAATGATCCTTAATCACTGCCACTTCCTCAAAATGGGAAAGATTTCGTATTCTTTGTCCTATTGTTGTTGAACAAATACAGGGTGAGAGAGAAAATCCCACTACGCCTTAACATCTCACATTGCTAGCATAGCTTCTTTGGTTTACTCTCTAAATATTTTATATTGGTGAAGCCCCATAAGACAGTGACTCAGAGGGGGTTCTAATTACACATTTAGAGCCAACGATGGATTCTGCTGGAAGCTGTTGGTGGTCTTGCCAACAAACAAAACCCACGCATTCCACAATATATTGTAGATTCTTCTTCATTTCCATCCACTGTTTGGCAGTTTTCAAAAATCCTTGTAAGCTATTATTTTGGTCCCAATCTATGTCAGATCTGGAGCCAGCTAAATGGACTGGAGCTGTAGCTTGCCAGCTTTAGAGAGGTAGAATATTTTATTGGTAGAAAAGGGCTAATGTGAATAGATTGCAGTGGCTTTCAAGCAAGCTAATACGCGGCTGTGTCAGACTTAATTAGAGCTGTTTTTAGGTCACAGATCATAGACATCTGAGCTGCAAATGGCTCCCACTCAATCAGGGTATTGTGCGGAGGCTGCCGCAGAAGTGTAACAAAGGTCCGCATTGCCACCAATTCACATCACACTTCAAATACAATAGCTGAACTGCCACAGGATTTGAGGAGGAGGAGAATGGGAACTGTATTTGCACCCAATTCCCCCCCTGAAATCCCTCCCAGTGAGTTATGAATAAAAACCAATAAAGCCAAATGTTTCTTTTAATGGAAAGACATCACTGGCGATTAGTGGTGTATATGCAATGTGTATATGTTATTGCATTTGGTCTTAAACAATGGTCAGTGGAACAATGGAAGTCTAGAAATGGCACTCGGCAACCAGGCTGTTTATCTTTAAATTGAGTTCCCAGACTTCTCCTTCATTGAGTTCCCAGACTTATAATTCAAAATGTGGTATGAGATTCTGGTGGTGAGAAGGAGGAGCAATTAAGTCATGCTACTGAAGAATATTTTTGTAGTATTTTGCTGTGTTGGCCATGTCCACAGCTTGCTATTTGAATGAACAAGGTTGTTAAATCATTTTGTGAATAATTAGTCCATTATTTCACCAGTTTTCTTTGGATTCCGTCAACTTCACTCTAGGTTACTTTGTGATCTGAAGTAGGATATCTTTAGGTTAAAATGCCACCAAAGACTGCATCTAGCCTGGGGATAAGAAATGAAACATTTATAATTGCTTTGTTGTTCTTAGATGTTAAGTATATTAAAATCTGACAATAACAGTCAGTATGGTCCCCTGCTAAGAACAGTGGCTCTTCAGATCTATAAGACTGAGTAGCTATCGGAAAAGACTAAGCAGTATGCTTCGAATGTTGATGAAAACCTACTTAATTGTGATAAAATAATCACATTTTTATAGTGGTTTTAAAAATTTGTGGAAGATGAAATATTTTTTAATTTGTTTAATACCCAAATAAGCAAGAGTCCACCCATCAGCAAATAAATACAACCAGCTGCAAGACTTTTGAGGCTGCATTATCTCCTAGGGTGAACCCGGTTTCATACAGATAGCTGCTACATGGATCCTGTGTTCAATCATCTCCTAAAGTTGTAATGGTTTCCATCTCATGATTGTTGTAATATATATAATGTCTTGATACATGTTCATACCTTTGGAAATGCTCCTTAAATAGCCTTTATGTGTTTAGAATACCTTGAAGAAAATAGCTTGGTCCAACAAATTACAAAAAACATTTAATAAGAATTATAAGTATGCCTTCATCAACATAAGACGTT